TTAGGGGGGAGGGGGAGATGAATGATGCATCATCATTCGTTTGACGCAGGGCTCCTCACGCCCCGTTAACGCCGGCGGGGGGCGGTGTTTAACACCCCCGGGGCGTGAAATGCGCCATTACGCCGGTGGGCGTGAGGAGTATACCCAGTGCTCTAAATATCACAAAAACATGCAGGTGTGAATGTTCTATGACCTATGTTGTATATATGTATGAACATGTGGTATACTTTAAGGCCCATACTAATTTCCTTCTCTTTGCAAAGCTTAAATCAATAGTTTAGTTTTGATACGCTAGCAAGGGTAATTAATTAAACGTTTTGTGTCAATTTCTTCAAGTGAAATTTGCACTAAATAGAACTACAACATAATGACTTTCCTAATGTAGGACTTAAACTTTTTTATTTCCTAAATATGACTTAATAATGACCTAGTATGAGGAATAATATCCAGTAATGATAGACATTTAGTTGAATAATGACTACTTGATAATGACCAAAGGTCCTACATTGAAAAATAAAAACATATGGTCCTATATTAGGAAAGTCATTATGTTTTAGTCCTATTTAGGTAAATTTCTCTTTCTTCAATTACGGATTTAGATAAGCAAAATCCCCAAAAATAGGAGTAAAAATGTTATAAAAGAAATAAATAGGAGTATGCCTAAGTACTTAATTTGGTAGGGGTGGACCTTAACTTTTCTTCCCAATTTGCCTCTCTTAAGTGTGGTGGTGGAATTGACAGTGTGGCGGTGGTGATAGTGGTGGCAGTGTGTAAGTGGTGGCGGTGGCAGCGGAAATTGGCAATGTGGCGGGGTCGAACCTACACCCTTTAATGACTCAACTATGATTCTTATCACTTGAGCTACTACGCCATTTGTTAGGGATATCAACGGATAGCCGAAAATCCGATTACCGTCCGCATCCGAATCCGTTTAAAGAGGAAATATCCGCATCCGTTTTAAAGGGTATTATCCGTATCCGACTAAGGATATCCGATTACTAAACGGATACGGATTTGGTAATTGTATATCCGATCCGTTTAAAATCCGATCCAAATATGCATCCGTTTAAATAATCATTTATCCAAATATCTGATCCGTTATATATAGTCTTTCCTAATTTTTTATGTTTATATTTTGTTTCTCTATTGATATTTCAAAATATAAGAAATTTTTATATACAAAATAAATGTGTAGACAGATAAAAATATGTACAGACATAAAAATATGTGTATATATGTGTTGTGTATATTTTTTTACCATATGAAGTTATCGTAGAATATCATAAATCATGAAAACAAAGAAAATAATTATCCCATACCAAATTATAGTTTATTTAATAATAGTTTGACTTTAATCTAATTTAAAATTAAAGTATTGTTTAATTTTTTTAAAAATTGGAAACGGATACGGATGTATCCGATATCCGACGGATGCAGATACGGTTTTGATTTTCAGTATCCGTCAAGATCTGTATTCGAATTCGATATCCGACAAAAATAAACGGATACGGATTTGGTAATGGCACATCTGATCCGATTAATATTCGTTTACCCCCCTTTTACAACACATAATATATTGGCTATTTGTATTTAGAAAAAATTAGAGAGACATCTGTTGATAATGTACTCCCAAATTTATATTATGAACTTCTAAATTAGTTGAAAGAAAAAAAGCATTACTTTTTCAAAAGAAAAATTACAAATAAATATTGTATACCTAAATAATTATTTTCATCTTCAAAAGTTTAGTACGGAGTAATATTTACTAATTATACGTGGAGTAATATTATATGCTACAATTTATTTCTTTTTCTTATTTTTTATATTTTCAATCAACGCAATATAAGTCTAAAATATTATATACGAATTAAAATATTTTTAATTATTGACTAAAAGTATCTAGTAATATAATATAAATTCTTATTTTTTAGTTGACCGATTCATTGACCCGGGTTTGACTGGTTCAACCGGTTAATCTTTGACCAACTACCTCGTTTGAGTCGATGTCCGGTCCGGTTTTCAGAACATTAAAAAAAGGGTGATGCTACAATTTATTTCTTTTTCTTATTTTTTATATTTTCAATCAACGCAATATAAGTCTAAAATATTATATACGAATTAAAATATTTTTAATTACTGACTAAAAGTATCTAGTAATATAATATAAATTCTTATTTTTTAGTTGACCGATTCATTGACCCGGGTTTGACTGGTTCAAGCGGTTAATCTTTGACCAACTACCTCGTTTGAGTCGATGTCCGGTCCGGTTTTCAGAACATTAAAAAAAGGGTGCCACAGTTTGACTTATTTTAGTTAAACTGTGCAACACTTGGAACTATAGTTTTAAAAACCGGACCAGACCGGCCGGTCCGGTTCGGGAACCGGCCACCAAAGCGGTCCGATCCGGGCAATCAGACCGTTTCAGCAGTGAACCGGCGGAAACCGGTTAAAACCGGTGAAACCGGGCGGTTTTACCGCCGGTTTTTTAATTACTTTTTGAAGTTTTTTAAAAAACACATCACTGGGATTCGAACCCAGGATGTATTGTTCCAAGGGGCAGCCGCAGACCATCTACGCTACAAAGCTTGCTGTTCATTCCCTACTTTTCATTTGTAATATTCTTAAAATAAATTTGTTATTATCAAATACTCTAAATACATATACATATTTAGTTTTTTTTAAAGGAAAATTAAAAATCCATTGATGTAATTGATAGGGAGTACATATCACACAAATATTATATATATATTTTTAAATAATAGGTAAAATGTTTAAAAAAATTCAAATAACATTTTATTTATAAACTTTTTTCAATAAGTAAATTTTATTTTTTATCTAATGACACAACTCAAGTAAATTAAGTTAAATTTTAAATTTAATAAAACATCAATTCTTTATTTATAAATAGAGGAAATATTATTTTATTTACTCATATATTAATTTTTTATATTATTTTATATATATATATATATATATTTATCTATTTATTAAAAATGTTTGAACCACCGGTTCAACCACTTGAACCACTGGTTCGACCAGTGAATCAGTGCCTTGACCGGTTCGATCACCGGTTCGGTTCTGAAAACTATGCTTGGAACACAATTTATAAAAAAAAATAAAATAGATTCCGTTATAATTTAAATTTAATAAATTAGATTTATTTAAAAATATGATTTGGAATATCAAATTTAATTACACTTAACTATTTTAAACTAGATTTAACTTGTTGTTCAAATGTGCCAAGCAATCTTTTTTGAAACGGAAGGAGCGAGTATATTGGTGGCCCGCCAGGAGGCCCAACCATGGATCTGATCTGATCGATCTCCTCTACCATCCTATATATCATCAAAACAATCACACACACACACATGAAACATATACAGTCCATCGAGCTGGTCGGTGGTGGTCAACTCTGAGAGAGAGAGAGAGAGAGAGAGAGAATGGGACAACATTCGTGCTGCAATAAGCAAAAGGTGAAGAGAGGGCTATGGTCGCCAGAGGAAGACGAGAAGCTGATAAACTACATTACTACCTACGGACATGGCTGCTGGAGCTCTGTTCCCAGGCTCGCTGGTTCACTCTTCACTTTCTATTTTCCTTCCTTCCTACCTACGTACATGTATCGTACTTTAATTTGCTAGCTACAATTAATAGTAGTATAAGAATGTTCGGAGGATGGAGAATATATATATTATTGTTCAATTAAATTTCTCCTTAATAATTAGATTTATTAACAGTACGGAAAGTACGTGGTTAATTTGAATAGTTATATAAATAATAGGGCTGCAAAGGTGTGGGAAGAGCTGCAGGCTGAGGTGGATAAACTACCTGAGACCAGACCTGAAACGTGGCACCTTCTCATCTCACGAAGCTGCTCTTATCCTCCATCTCCATTTCATCCTCGGCAACAGGTAGGTTTCTCTTTTCTTTTCTTTTCTTTTTTCCACATATAATACTACAAATTTTATATAATTATTTGTTAACGTTTATCCATTTTGATAAAAAAATTTACATCCTACACACATATATATATTTGTGTCTATATATATATATATATATATTACATATAAAGATGGCATATACATTAAGATGGATGCAGCCAAGAATTAAGTAGATAATAATGAAAAACGAGTATATACGGAGTATAACAAATGTTATGGCCTTAATTACTTCCCTAACAAAAAAATATTGTTTTACCTGTCACTACTCATCTTGTAAATCTTTTCATATAGTTTTTAAATATAGAATTTTTATTTTTTAATTGTACTCTATTTTTCATATAAAATGATTAGAAAATAAATTCGATCAAACATTGTAAACCAAAATAGGCGATTTAAATTGGGACGGAGTTAGTATCTTTTTCAAAGTGGAAAAGTCTTAGGAGTGGAAGTAGTAAATAAAACTTTTCTATTAGGCCTAAAGAAACATAAATAACCTTACTTTTTCTAAATCTAATCTACACTAATTCTTTTCTATGTCCTTTCAGTCTCACATTTTTTAAATTCTACACGTTGCAATTGTCATTATTGTTTTTCCTTGAATTATTGATCAAACTTTTTTATTCTCCTCATTCGAAAGACAAAACTAGAAATTTTTTGTAGTACGAAAAAAGTATTATTGTAAGATCAATTCTTCACTTTCTTTTACCCTACAGTACGTGCTTCTTGACCCCAAAATGGTTCTAATTAGTAATTCCCCTCCCGCAACCCCTTCCCAAAAACCTCAAAATGATAGTTTTGGTAGGGAAAAAGTAATTAGAATGGGTAAGAATCATTTACATGTAATTAATGACATTATTTCCTAATGTCAAAGTAATCGGCCTCTTTCTCTTATTAGCCACTAAATATAGCCACATGTTTTTATTGGAACTCTTTTTCCTACTCTCCTTCCCAAATACTCCATCCGTGTCAAATTCATTTATTAGACAGCGTTTGAGAATTAGAATTCATTTAAAATTTTAAATTTCAATTTCTACATTTGAAATCTCATAATTTTAAATTCTAAATGTTATTCTAGATCAGAAATCATAAAATTTTAATTTTAGAATTTGAATTTTGAAGTCGGTAAAAATATCAACGAAAGCGGGTTCATATGTATGGAATTGTTGTTGCATTATAATTGCTAGTTATAAATAAAAAAAGTTGGTTTGAATTTGTAAATGACATGAGGAGGGGTGTAGATTGGTAATTGAGTTTATTTTGAATTAGAAGAATTTGATCCAAATTTAAGCTCTTTAAGTTTTCAAACAAGTAATTTGTATCAAATCCATGTTTAAAATTCAAATTTGAGTTTCCAAATACACCATTAAAGTGTTTCAAAGACTTGTAAAATTTTGTGACTTTTAAAATAATGTTAATTATAAATTAATATAAAAATAAAAAGTACGACTTATATAGTTAAAAATAACACCAAAAGTTCTATAACACAAGAGGTAAAAAGAAATTTTTTTTCGAATGGACACTGAAAACATGTAAATAAAAAATTTTTATCAAGATGTCGTAATAGTAAAAAAATGCAAAATAATTCTGGGACAGTGGGACCGAGGGACATAGGAAGTAGTCCTTTTAGTATACTCCTTCGTCACATAATTATTGTAACAGTTACTCCGTACTATTTTAGTCTCTCAATAAGTTTTGTTTCCCATACTTTCGTTAACCATTTGATGAAATAAATTTAAATATTTTTTTCACTTTTTGTTTTATAATTTTTTTGATGTATTTCTACATATTTTTTGATAGGATAACTTTTACATTTTATTTCTATCCAATTTGTAAACCAAATAGTTTTTAAAAAGATACTCCGTAAGATTTTATACTCCCTTCCTCCAACAATAATGTAACGATGAAAAGATTTAAATTAAAAAACGTATTGAATTTGAAAATAAAAATTACATATTTGAAAACTACATGAAAAGATCAAAAAAAGTAGATGTGTCAGGACTATATTATTTGATCAAATGGGCAACGAAAATACGCCAACAAAGTGAATAAAGTTTGACCATGTGAATAGTGAATTGAAAGAAAACATTACTGTTGGAAGGAGTGATGAGTACATTGCTCAAAATGAAAGGATAATTTTGGGAGGGAGAAAGTATTAATAAATACGGAGTATATGTTAAATATGGAAGTGTGACTTTAGTCTTTGAAAATCTGAATCAAGAAAAAGAAAAAAGTGATTTTACTTTTGGGAGGCCGGGATGGAGTATGTAAGTATGTATGTTGATTCATTGCTCTATATATTAAGATGGTTAATAACAATAAAGTAAATAGTAATGCTGATCATAAGTAATAATATAATGGAATAGGTGGGCACAAATAGCAAAGTATCTGCCAGGAAGAACAGACAATGAAGTGAAGAACTTCTGGAATTCAAGCATCAAGAAGAAGCACCACTTCCATCGCCATTATCATTCCCACTCCTCCTCCAATCTCCCTCCTCCTCTTCTATCCTCCTCCATTCATAACCATAATCATAATCATAATAGCAACAACAACAACAACGCAGTTTATGATCAAACCCCCGGCCTCTTCTATCCCACTCTCATGAACCCTACTTCTTCTTCTTCTCCTCCTCCTCCCATCCAAACAACCCATCATGATGAGACCATGATGATGATGATGATGATGATGAATCAAAATGGGAATTGTTTGGTGGTCCCCAGCGACCCCACATGGTTTCTTGAATATCAGCAGCCACCTGATAGTATTAATAATAATAATAATAGCCCTACTCCTACTCTTTCAAAACAAGACAACTATTCCTTGTTCTTCACTAATAACAACAACAATAATGAAGAACATATCTCCGGCGCCCGGGCTTTCGCCGCCGACGATGATCCGGTGATGTTTCCTGCGCTGCCTAAGCCCTGCGACATGATGATGATGATGAAAGATAATATGGAGTGTGGTCTACTGCCGCCATTGATGATTCCTTCATCATCTTCCTCCCATTCGAGCAGTAATGCCGCGGTTGCGCAGTCGTCAGAAATGCACGTGCCTCCGGCGGCGGCCTACCCATTCCCATCACCGCCGCCACCGTTGTCTTTTGATGATGGGCAGCTGGGGAATCAGCTCATTGCATTTCAACCTTAAATTAAATCATGCATGCATGCATGTTCTAGTGCCATGCACGATCAATATATATTTGCATATGTGTGTTGTGTTATTTTGTTTCATTATAAATACATAAAGAAAGATTAATATTGTTCGTTGATGCTAAAGTGAATGGAACTTTGTATAAATTCCTGTGTTGAATAATAATGTTTTGGTGTGTGTACATCAATTTGTTGAACTTGTGTTGTTTGTATGCCCAAGCAGGTGAAGTGTGTCGTCAACTTGACCCCAAAATATAAATGTCACTCAATAATAAATTGCTTTTGGCATTCGTCACATGTCACCCTGGCCCCTCTCTTTGATTTTTTCTTTTCCGACACTACAGTCTTGCACAAAATTTGTAAAATAAAATCAGCACGTACCACAATCAAGAGAAATAAAATAATCTGGTTAAATATAGTCTCAAGAAAAGGAAACTACCGTGGAATATTTTTTTTGTCCCATAACATTCTTATCCGTATTAATTCACGGAGTTTAAAAAATGGTTGAAAAATACGGGAGTAAAAATTACTCCCTCCGTCCCTAAATAAATTTTCTTTTTCGTTTTTTCTTTATCTCCAAATAAACTTATCTTTTCCCTTAAAAAAACCCTTTTATCCCTTACTTTTTCATACCCTACCTATCACATCATACTTTTTTACTAATAATCTACATATCACATCTTACTTTTATACATCACATCAAAGGTATTTTTGGAAAGTCAGTACAAAAATATTCCTTCTTTAAATCCTCAAAAAGTCAAAAAGATAAGTTTATTTAGAGACGGAGGGAGTATGTAACTCAAATTTGTTTATAGAAGATTGAGAAAATTGTTGAACGCCACATATTCATTACCAAAGTAAAAAAAAAGTAAATGCATGATATTTTTTGGGATATCCGAAAAACAAAATGTAAGAAATTTTATGGGTTGGAAGGAGTATGCCCTACCAAAAGATTGGTTGTTTGGGCATTCTTGAATTTCCTGTCACATTTTTTGGTCTTTTTTAAAAATTTGCCCCCCTACCAAAAGATTGCGTTTTATTTTATCTTATTTTTTTCCTTACATTTTACTCCTATTTTATTCTTTCTTCCAACATTTTTTTAGGGCAATAGGGCTATGACGGTAAATAATTTAAAAAAAGTGGAAATAAAAGGCAGTTGACCTTGATCATATGGAGCAGTTCATTAATTTCTTTTCCTAAAACGTTGGAATCTTTAGAAACCCTTCATATGTTAATTTTGTTCTTGTAGAAAAGAGTAGCAGGGATCGGCTAACAACTCCTTGTCTCAACCGCTCAATCTCTAGATTGAGGACGGTTGCGATCAAACCAGCTACAATCAAGTGGTCCCACAGATCCCAGAATTAAATGCCACAAAACAGCACAAAAAAAAACAAAAAAAATGCCACAAAACATATATTGCCCCCCTTTGGATACTTGAAAATAAACGACGCTAGGATGATCTTTGTTAATTTATTTTATTTAAATATTGGCATAAAATATTCTATAACATTTATATATCTAAAAGCTACAAACAAGAGGTGACATTTTTTTTTCTTTTTGACAAAAACAAACAAACAAACTTGCCAATCAAATTTGCAGCATTCATATCCATCAAAATGGGATATATCACTCTGTAGACAGAAATTATTACAGAAAGGTTCATCTTTTGGCAGCTCCAGAAAGAAAACATGAATTCCTTGAGATTATGGAAAAAAGAAGATAAAAGGCCAGTAGTTGGGTGTACCAGCAACAGGACTCCACTGGGGCATCATGTTATATGACAAAGCTTCTAGCAGCAATGACTCTTGATTAGATCCACAACATGCTATACATTTTTGTCTGTATGCTGCTAAACTGCTATCCGTGCGCGTCCCTTGGCAATTCGCCGAGCAATCACTCTTCGACCGCCTTTTGTGGCCTTCCTGTTCAATTCAGAGAGAAACATTTTGATAATAGGCACCCGCCTGTTGGGTATTTCTGAACTTTATACTTTGTATAACAAATTCGGAACGATTTTTTTATGCGTGGTGATTTTTGAATAAGTAGCACAAAAATGAATCAACGTAGGATACCTTGCAAGGAACCCGTGATTTCTTTTGCGCCTGATGTTACTTGGTTGGTATGTTCTCTTAGTGTGGCAAAGCATTGGTTCACTTGAAGAAGTTTCTCCTGTCAGAGAAAATTTCAAACTTTAAGCAATGTCAAAAAGAAAGCTAATGTAAAGACACAACAATTTTAAATTTTAAAAAAAAACCCAGACCAAATGATAAAGGCAAAACTTGATAGTGTGGTCATATTCTTTACTGTCTATTTGGACTTTAGTCCGTATCTCGAAAAAAACATAATGTTTCCAAAAACGAATAAAAAGTGATTGAAATGTTATACAATCACATACTATAGATTGAATCTCTACACTCTATTTGGTTCGGGGAACTAGGAAGACAAGGAGGAAATCACTTTTCAATGATATGAATTTTCCTCGAGAAGACATGCATGACACGGGAGGAGAGAGGGAGTGAGCTGAAGGAGAACAGATGTGCAGAATGGATCACATGTGTATACTTTGATAATCTCTACTTTTTCTCGCCAAAATAGAACAAAAATGATTTTCTATTTTACATTATACTAGGAGTTTTCGTTTCTTGCCCTTTCTACTCAAACATTAAAAGATTCCTTACCATTTCCTTTTCTTTACCCCTCCAAATTCCTTGAACCAAACAGAGAGTCAAGGTTTTTCCTGCCAAACCTCTCTATTTGGAAGAATGTTTGGGATGTTCATTGAGGGTTTTGAGGAGAATGCTTTGGAGAGCTTAGTCTATAGTTATATAAAGAGAACGCTTCTAAAAAATACAAAAACAACTCAGTTGAACCCCACGAGAGTAGGGTCTGAGGAGGGTGTGTGTACGCAAACCTTACCCCCCGCTCAAAAGTAGGAGGCTGTTTCCAAGAGACCCACGACTCAAGTAACACAGATAGCACAGAAAACACAATCTCACAGAAGGCACATAACACTTTTAAAAAAACATAAAAAAGGCTGTCAGAATGCCATAGTTTGCCTTTTAAGTTATTTGTTCAACTTTTGTAGACTTAGCCCTCCAAAAAGCTCCATTTACTAGCCATTCCCTTAACTGATAACCTTGACAGCTTAACCAGTTACCTTAACAAGAAAACGCCAGTAGATGATTGAAACTTATTTTCATATCCTCCCACTCCAATGAAATGAAGAATTCAAATATGGAATAACCGTATGTATAACACTTGATTTACATAAAAAAGATTCACAAGTTGCAATCCCTCTGCTCAAAAACACTGGCCTAAATTTCAAAGCTTTAGGACCCAACACAATTCTATATCTATACACAGTCTCAAGTCTCAACTAGAGACTAGTGAAGAATCAGCTGGATTTTAAGATAAGGCCGCAAACTCTTGTAGTCATATCGTATTGAATCAATTAGCTTGGAGAATGAAATAAGGGTGACAGTAACATCAAGAACAAAATAAACGATTAAAGAGACGTTAAAAGCAGACCAATTTATAAATACTAATACCAAGTATATCCCCCCCCCCCCCTCCCCCGGAAGTAGGAAATGTCCTCAGACCTAAACTCAACACAAGGCCATATCATATTAACAGTGAAAACCACAATAGGTTAACTGGCAAGCATCCTTGATAGTAAAGTTGAAATTTTGCAGATCAATCAACAGTACAAGTTTCATAATTCAATCAATAAAGGAACAAATACAAATATGGATTATAAAATGAAGGATAAATGCCAATGAAAAATCAGTACAAACGCAAAAGGACATGCAAGTGAAAAATTTACCCTCGGGAAGAAAGAAACGGAGAGATGGAAGGCCACATGGGTAGAGGAAACCCTCCGAAGAGAGATTTCTAATTGAATCGGAATTGTTTTGGGGGAAATGAAGAGGAGCCTGAGACAGGGACGAGCCAGAAGGTAAGAGCTTCGGAGTGATCTCGAGGGTCCGAGAACCCGTTTGCTGCGCGATTCGGGTCGAATTCTGGTTCACCAAGCGGGTCATGAACGAGAGACCATTGCGAATGAGAGTTCGCGAAGAGGAGAGGGACGACATTGTTTCTCTCAGATGAAATTCCAGTGAACCCTAGTTCCTCTCTGCAACTCGTCTCCATTGTATCGTCGTGCGTTGTTTTCTATTGAAATTCGAAAGCCGTGATTCTATAATGGGCCGATTCTTTGGAAGCTTTTTTGCTGATAATCCTGATATTTGCGTAAGCCCATAGGCGCGCATTTTAGGGCCATTTTATCAAATTCTTGGGAAGGTGCCTTTCTGTTTTACTCATATTTTTATTTTATTTTTATTTTACCAAGAGTTTGTTTGTTTGTTTGGTACTACATGTCTACCTGACATATCTCATACTATCAAATATGAGTATCAATTTAGAGAAATGCTAAAGTTACAAATACTTTGATCACACAATACACAACCTTGCCATTTATGTATTTAAATATTTACTTTTTAATTATTTTACATTATTTAATTCACTTGGTGAGATACACAAATAACAAGGTTGTGTATTTTGTGATCAAAGTATTTGTGACTTTAGCATTTCTCATCAATTTATTAGCAAGTTGCAATAATGATATTAAAGCAATCTGGAAAGACATCCTTTGAAGAAATACATATACTACACTCTCTATTTTAAATTAAGTTACATGTTTACTATTTACAGGGTCAAATTTCATGTACTTCTTTTCCTGTTTTGGCAAATCATTTGATAAAATAATATGATCACGTTGTCACTAATTTTGTTGATCTTTGATCTAGTTTTAAAGTATGTAATTTTTTTTAATTCCACACTATTTTTCATATAAAATGATTTAAAAATAATTTTAGTCAAATATCGTAAGTCGAAATAGATAATTTATATTGAAACTAGAATCGTTAATCACAAAGAAACAGTAGTAGTGGAATAAATCCAACCTACATACACATCTTCTATGAGCGAAAAAAAGGGGGGGAGGGGGGGTGGCACTAAATAAACACACCATCCGCTTTAACGTTAACAAGGGAAGCATTTGCTTCACAACATAAACACAAACTTCCAAAACTTGGGTAACTATAAAGTTTAAGAAAGGCAAAACAAAAAGATTTTATTCATTCAAAAATTTAAGAACTATGACACGGGCACCCAGCAGATCAAAAAATGATAATAATAATAATAATAATAATAGTAATAATAATAATAATAATAATAATAATAATAATAATAATAATAATAATAATAATAAGAAAAGAATAGAAATTAGTTCTATCGCAGGATGTATGGCTCCTCAGTGCTCAGTTTGTAAGGCAGCAGAAATCCAATCAGAAGCAGCTGTCTCAATTTCCGGCTCTAAATGTTGTGCAAGAGACAGTGGAGTGATTGCAACCTGTTCATATGTTGCCACCGGTAAAAGTAAGAGCCATATGGGCAAAACTTGTAGCCTCCTTGGCTTAACTTATGGTATAATAATATACTCTTTTCTTTTCTTTTTCTCCCTAACCAAACCAGAAAATTCATTGAACCAAACATAGTGTTAAAGTAAAAACGTTCTTTTCTTCCCTCTAAAAACCACTTACTTTTTAAAAGTAGGTCGTACCAAATGCTCTATAAATTAACAATTCTCTTTTTAAGCTTATGTTGCTGAACAATTTCGAGTAAACAAAACACAAATTGCAGGAGTAAAAGGAATCTAGCACTTACAAAGCCATTTTCCACAGCTCTAAAATCTAAATCTTCGTCCATGTCTTCTAGTTCCTTAGCTAGTAACTGCAATGCCAAAAACCATCACACCCCGTTTTGTTTTATTTCATTGGAAAAACAATAACAAGGTTGCATTTGCAAATAATGTGATCAAAATGGTGATTACCCCACGGCCAAATTACCAAACAGCATATATTTGTTATTTGTTCAATACGGAGTATATGACAAGCTTACCTCCAATCTGAAGTACTTGACCACCCGGTTGGGATCAGATTTTCTAGCTACACCAACTGACTCAACTTCTTCAATATCCTTCTTCTGTGAGGCTAAACGGCGAGCAGCGCCCTGGGAAAATGACAGTGTAAACAAAATAACTAAAAGAAAAGAAGCCAGAACAGACATCACCATCAACACCTAAATCCCCACCTGATAAACGCTAATCAGGTTTGCACTGTTTATATCTTTTCAATCCAAAACTCGGTTTAATAAGTACACTTAAATCATTGAGATATAGTACCAGATTTCAACAACCAAATGCATCCCAATAATAATTAATAAATACCATCTGAACTACTGTTTACTGCTTTTAAGGATCTAATATATTTTAAGAATCATATACTCCCTCCGTCCCAAAATAAAAAGGTGTTGCTAAATCCACCCCAAAAAATACTATATCCACACCTTTCACTTAAATTTGTTAAATCCACACCAACATCAAATTTATATTAATGGGGGTGGATTTAGAAAATATAGGTGAAAGGTGCGGAATGTGGATATAGCCATTTTGATGGTTGATTTAGAAATACCCAAAATAAAATTCACAACTCCTTTTCCGTCAAGTCCCAAAATAAACTTCACACTTCTTCTTTTTCCTAGGAGTATTAAGGAATTGAACATGTGGCTCACAAGTTTTCTCTCTTACAAACAAATTTCAATCGCACGTTTTTTACTTTTAAAACTTTTGAGGTTTATTTCAGGGGGGGAGTATTTATTATTTAGAAAGGATGTAAGGATATAAGTTTGTCGATAACCTAGACATAATTTAAATATGCGGGTTGCAAATAAAATGCACTTGCAAAAGTCCAATATTCCAAAAATGACCACTAAGGGGTCATCGGAGCGCGGAAAATGGTAGTGAAAGCAAAAGTGCGAAGGAAAATAGAAGTTTATGTTTGGTTCTTACAGAAGTGAATAAAACTTTTCAAAATTTTAACTATATTTATATTTTTTTGTGGAGGTATGTAAATAAAATGAGTTCAACTAAATGTTTGAAATTATTTGGTTTGAAAGAACTTATTTCCCCCTAAATTTCTGCCTACCAAATTTCCCCTCTATTTTCCTTCACAATTTAATTCCCTGGCATTTTCCGAGTTCCAAACGGACCCTAACAAATGCAGAAGTATACTTACTACAGCAGATGCATCTCGACCAAGCTGAGCAAGCTGTATGCCAAGATTTTGCTGATTAGGGAGAAAGCGTCCAGCAGCAGGATTCCGGTTTGCTGGAATGGCTTTCCAGCTTGGGATTGATCTCCAAACACTCTGTTTTGTTAACTTGAAGCCCTATCAAACACAAGAGGAAAGGTCAGTGCATTTGGTCCAATAATGTGGAGGGTGCAAGACATCAGTCTACCCTAGAAAAAGATGGTTTAACAATGAAAGAGAAACATAAGTGGTAAAAGGATACCTTATTTACCAGAGGAGAAGTTGGTATTTCTACATTTAGTAAGCAACACTTGGGGAAAACGCCCTTTTCTATATCTCTAATGGCTGCATTAATTAAAGGTAAAGAAACGCTTGCCGCTTCCTTGAAATTACTTTCTTGGCTTTCATCATTTTTCCTAGAAGTTCATAAAATCAAACTACTACATCACCAACTCTCAAGAAATTACATAGGAAGGAGAACAAAAAGGACAAGAGCATACCAGTTGAGAGAGATTGATATAGAGGGGATGCCACTCAACAATGCCTCCCTGGCACCTGCTACAACACCCGAGCAGTACCTGGAAAACATAGATCATTTAAGACTCATATTGGTAGGAGCATCAATCGATGTGCGTTGCTCATCAGCATAAAATTTGTAAGAAACAAAATCAGTAGCCGTTCAGATATTTTTAGCAACAGATTCAGTTCAGTAATTTCTGCCAAAAATCCACGCCAAACGTGTCCTAGCAATACAAAAAATCTAGAGTGCAGAAAAGTGGATTCATGGCTCGAATAGGAGCAGAAATGTAGCAGAAGAAAGGAATTTTAATAAAGAAGAAGAAATCATATGCAAACATAGTACAAAGGATACATACATGTGACTGCCACAACTTGATCCCCTGTTGATGCCACTGATTACCTAAACTTATCGAGTAGAGAATAGAAATAATTTAGCACAAAGAACTAGTAAGGATAGATTCTTATTTTAATTAAATCAATACTTATAATCAAGTCCCCATACCACGGAAGGCTTTGACCAAGAATAGAGTGCCCCAGATAATACCAATGAGATGCAATCTGCAGGAGTCCCTGGAAGATATTATTGCTACAAGAGTGAGAAACTTTTGTCAAAGTATTGATAATCTTCATAAGAAGAAAAAGTCTACATGCCAAAGAGGCATCATACCAGAAACTTCATAACCGGTGGCTCCGTGAACTTCAATTGAACTCACTCCAACTGTTTCCCTCAGCGTAACAGAATGGCCGGATACAGATTCATCTCTGTCAAATAATCATAACAAACAAATTTGTCTGTATCAAATCGTAGGCCCGTAGCAATAACAAGCAAATGAGCAATGACAAAACGATGAAATTGCACGAATTACTACAAATATCTGGTCTAAATCTCAACAAAACGAATCAACGATAAGTCATTAAACCATAATACATGACTAGTACAGTAGTACATCTTAAAACACGCATAAACGCCTAGTAAAACCTAAAAACAACAGAGATCGATGAAATAGACATGGCAGAAGACCTACGATTGGGGAGCGCAGATGTAAACATTATAGAGGCCATTGCGAACGAGTGCATCAACAAGACAGGCGAGACCTGGGGAATCAACCCCGTCAGCGTTGGTCACCAAAACGATAGGCTTCGATCCGTCCGGCTCCCCAGTGGCAATTCCGGAGCTGGACGACGGCTGCGTCGAATCGTCTGCGGACTTCGCTTGAGGATCCTCGTCGTTTCCTGCCTCGCCGGCGTCGGCAGCTTTTCGGCGGAGAAGAACATCCTGAAGATTGGATACCAGAGCAGGAGGCAATAAGCTGTTCTTTGAGGCAGAAGTAGACATTTTTATGGAGAAAAATGGTGAGAAAATGGAGTTTATGATGGGGCAATCGAATTCATAATACGTTCTTCATAGAAAGGTGGAGAGGGAATTACCGTTAAGTTGAACGGTGTACCGACCGGCGAGGAAGGAAGAACAAGTGATCGTACATTCATTCATTTACATCTCACATTTACCTTTTTTTTAATAAATCTAATAATTCTTTATTTTCTAATAATTTTCTTAAATTTCATAAAAGCTAAGCAAAAGTTTTTGGAACAAAATTGTACTCCTAAATAATCATTATAACTTTTTTAGCGTCATTATAACTTTATATGATACATCAAAAGTTGAATAAATCTAGATATAATAAATACTATGTATCAAAATTCATTTAATATTTGATGCGTCTCAAAAAATATAATGGTCAATTAAATATGAATTGGAGACTAGTATGCGTATAATATAGAGTACTAATATACGTACGCAATTGATCAATTTCATGGTGAAAATAGTTTGTTTATTTGTAAAATATGAAAATCAATAAAAATTCTATAAACTATCATACAATCCCACATAATAAATATTACGGAGTACTATATATATTCAATGTAAATTAGTCAGAAATTTCTTCATATTCCTTCCAATTTCAACTTTTTAAAGTCATCTAAGATTGACATTTAATTTATAATTAAATAAAAATTAAATAAAACACAGAGCATTTTAACTAGATAAAATTATATTTTGAATATATTTAACAATAAAAATCTAAAAGAATTTTTTTGTATCAATATTTAACATCAATTTCATTTAATATAAGATCAAAGTTTATTACGGAATACGAAGTATTAGTTTTGATTCCAAAAAGTTAAAACTAAACAAATACTTTCGGACTGAAGTAATAATAAAAAAGCAACAAATTTTCTTAGTGCCCAAAAGCTATAATTCTATTTCTTTAGTACAGACATATATGTTCACTACAATATAGTAGCAATTCCCTTATGATTAGTGAACATTTAAATTCTAAAAAGTGCTTAGGCTAATTAGTGATCCTTCTCACTGAACTAAATTTCACTGCTCTTTTAGGGAGTGTATCTCTGTGCAAACCAAACAAAGCCACATTTGGTCCAACAAACATGAGGGAGGAATGTAACAGCCACTGACAAAAGAGATTATGTTACACAAATCCCATGTCCGATGTACATACATTGTTTGTATTCCAATTCTTAAAAATAAAAATTAGGGCGGAGGAATTTTCAACCCTCGCCCAGAATCAAGATGGAGTCAAACTATTTGAACAGTAATACATCTCCTAAAGAGGTTAGAAAAAACAGCCAAACACAGCTCAACCAGATTTGATTTCTATCGTTAAGGAAACGAGAACAATGATACGCATTTGGCTTAGCAAACTTACAAGAAAGGCCTCACTTACGATAAGGATGGAACCTTCCAGATCCTGCACCGTCATTCCCCTTACCACCACCACCACCACCATAGCCTTTGGCGGCACCACCACCGCCATATCCAGAATCATTGCCACCAGTGTGTACTTCGACTCCATCATATTCACTCTCACCACCACCAGTGGCGGCAAAACCTTTTGCACCACCATGACTGCCCATGTTTCCATATCCTTTACCTCCCGCACCAGCGGCACCATACCCATAACCTCCAGCAAATCCATAATTGCCACCAAACCCGCCAGCAGCACCATACGGTCCCCCAAATCCGTATCCATAACCATAACTTCCATATCCCCCACCATAGAATCCCATGGGATTCATTCCGAAATTCCCAACATAATTCCCGTAAGGACCATAGCTTCCATACCCACTGCCATAGCCACCATATCCCTTGTGCATTTTCATGCCGTACGCATTGCTGAAATCATCTGTCCCGCCGTTCACCTTTCCATATGAAGTTGAATTATTGTTGAAATGATGCGTCCGGCTTTCAGTCATGTGATCAGAACCACCGCCTCTCTTTGGCTCCGCCCTCTTAATTTCAACCTGATATGACAAACATGGCAGTAAAAAACTAAGTCCCCATTAACAATACCCCTATCCTCCAAAAAACAAATTTACTCCCATATATTTGTTTAAACTTTTATATTTTGGCAATCTAAAGTTGTTAGAGGTAGTGTTCTAAGTCTAGGTGCTAGACCTTCCTTACCTACCTACAATATATCCCCGCCTAAGACCGCATAAGGCCTCATCAATCCGTGCCCTAATGCACTTAGGCGCAAGTCTACCGCCTAGGATAGCGCTTTTTAGAACATGTTTTAGAAGTCATGAATCATACTAGAGTTTTTAAATTCGGAGTATTAATCTGCTGAACTAGATCAAAAATACTTCCTCCGCCCTAATTTCTTAGGATACAAAATACGGTTTGCAGTAAAAGATTTCAATGTTAACAAATAATTCGGAGTATTAATCTGCTGTACTCCCTTTATTGGTTTTTAATGTGAACATAGTACTATATCCCTCCAAAAAAACATGTTTTGATATGGCACGTATACCATGAAAATAAATCATGTGACGATGGTTAATTTAGAAATGAGGAAAAATATATCAGATATAAACCTTTCATAAAAAGCTGAGATTAAATTTTTTTAGAAAGCCTAAAAATGAAAACGAAAGGAATATTTTAAGACAGCAGAAGTTAAAAAGAAGTTTTCTGTAATTAAAATAAATGTACACAATCAAAAATTTAATTAAAAAATACTACCTTTGTGCTCTATGATTTAAAAAGGTTCCATAGTTCCTTTATGACTTGTCTCAAAATAAAGTTCCACTTTCCATTTAAAGAAAGAACTTATGTTTTACATGATTTCTCTCCTTTGCACAAATCTCAACACACACAATTTCAGCTGTCTTAACAGCCTTGCGGATCAATATGAATGAACTTTATTTTGGGGCAAAGGGAGTACACATCGATTTAAAGCATCGCCCAAAGGTCAACATCTTTGACCATCAATTACCAAAAATCAAATGTTGCCCATTAAAGTGAGACAAAGGGGGTAATAATATTGCTTGAAACATTTTTGGCATATTACACGAAAAAGCAGTTTTGTTTGATGGATACAACTCTTCTTTGGGTCAGAAAAAACTTATGAAATAGTTTTCTATGAGTACCAACCATCAATATATACAAGATGACTCACTTGTTTTCCGTTAAGTTCATGCATGCGGCCATCAGAAAGAACCTTCTCAACAGAATCTTCACTGTCAAAAGATACAAAGCCAAAACCTCGGGACCGACCAGTTGTGTGATCAAGCATAATTTGCTGCTCCACAACATTTCCATAGGTAGAGAAGTACTCCCTCAAATCATCTGCAGTAAATCAATTTGGACTCTGCAATAAGCTTTAACCTAAAGAGATTTGAAAGAACATGTAAACTTGGAATGTCCTTACCATCACATAATGTTGGCGGGAGACCTCCAACAAATATTTTCTTTGTTTTTGATGATCGCCGGAACGCAGTTTCCTCCCTAGGAACAGTTCTCTTCACATCCACCTGATTAAGAATGTAATTATAAACATAAACACAAATGTGTGTGTGTGTGTGTTCATACACACATTATACAGATAATCCATACCTCTCTGCCATCAATTACATGTACTTCCTGTAAAACCCTATCCGCAACTTCTGGATCAGCATACGTAACAAACCCAAAACCTCTTGGTCGTCCAGAGATTTTATCCATCATAATTATTGAATCAAGTACTTCACCATACTTGCTGAAATACCTGTTAAAACATTCTGCGAACAAGCAGAACAACTAAGTAAAGGTAACAGATTGTAAGCAGTATTAGAAAAACTTTACCCTGATACAATTAACTCCCCATGTCATAAAAAAGTTCCGGGTCTCAATTACATGGAACCCAGAAATAGAGTCCAGAAACTAAACATTTCATTTGATTTGCCAAACCATTGACAAAAAGTAGTATAGACAAGTTGCATATGATAAACTTCGTAAAACCAAAAAATACAATAAAATAAACCTATATGAGTATGATTCATATGTATCTCGACATTTATATGTAGAGATAAGGTGTTTGTATGGGGCCTTACAAGGTTGTTCATTCATAAGTATGATTCATGTTTAAGGCAGTGATTTAAAGGTTGCGCATTGTTTTATAAGACATTTTTTTGGGATGGAAGCAAGAGCAATTTACAAAATGTTGGATTTGAATAAGCGACAGAACACTCCTCAAACAAATTAGAAAGGCTCTTAAGGACATATGAACATTTTCTAGCCTGGTACTAGCACATCAATAATACTTAATATTAACATCTTCATAACTAGTTCTTCATGTCTTCATTATGCATAAATTTGAAGCAATTGCAATAAAACTCTAATATAAACCTTAATATTTAAAATTAAAAACGAGACTTATCTTTATAGAGTGGTATAAAACTAAATTGTACCTACACATTTGATTAAAGCAACCCTGCCTCTTGGACAATGAATTTACAATCTATAATGAATTTAGACTGACATCATTCACATCAATAGTAAAGAATGCCAAGCTATAACCAAGATGGTATAGTTGTTGCAATCATAAAGCCATTACTCTAACAGGGAAAACAGAAACAAAAAACAAATATGGCATAGATAAAATAAGTACCTTGAGATGTCTCCCAGGCAATGCCTCCTACAAATAGCTTTCTAGCACACAAGAAAAACCATCAGTCATCTTAAATCTCGGGCTTCGTATTTGCTTGTGTGCAGGACTCCATCAATAATACAGTATATCTAAACATTTTTTGGGTACATATATCTAAACAACCCCAATGATCAGACAAAAAAACCCATCTACTGAAGAATAAGGAAATGATTCCTAACAATCAATTGAATCCATTTCCAGAACGATTTACCAAACCCTACAATTTATTGGAAGGGCTATCAAACTCAGAACAATAAGCTACAACAAAACTAACCCTGCTGAAAGAGAAGATTCATCAACGGAATTCTGTAACTCAATGACTGCGCTACTACCGTCTACGCTATGAACTGGCGGTTCAACAGCTGCTCCTCCGCTTCTTGAATAGATCTCTCCTCCATTTTCTTCATCATACCGAAGATCATCTTCCTCCAGCCGGCCGCCGCCTCCGTAAAAAGAGACGTCGTTATTTCCGGCCACGCCGTAATCCATAATTATCTGACTAAACTGATTCTCTACCTAGGGAACCTGCAAGTGAATAGGAGATTAATACAACCTCTTACCTTGTGTAAGAATCGTCTCTCTGGAACCCTAGATAAACCTGAGAAATATGTGCCTAGCCTAGCCTAGCC